ATTTATATCCAAATTGCAAAAAAACAAGCAAATAAGGTGAATAAAATGCGTTTTTCTTTCAAAAACTTCAAGGAAATTTGAGAGTTTTCTAAAAATTGCAAAATTTTTGAAAATATCCACTGAAATGACGCGAAATTCAGAGGATTTTCTGTGCATTTTCGTCAAATTCCTCAGTTTTCCCCACTTTCCCACGAAGGATTTGCATTTTTTCGTTTCTTTTTTTACTTAAAAATGGCTCAAAGTTTCTCGAAAACATATAGATAATAAAAGGAAATGAGTAAAGATAAACTAGCAACAAGCATTTCAATTAGAGCTCAATTCAATCGATTAGATCTCAATTGAATCGATTAGATCTCAATTGAATCAATTAGAGCTCAATTGAATCGATTAGAGCTCAATTGAATCGATTAGAGCTCAATTCAATCGATTAGAGCTCAATTGAATCGATTAGAGCTCAATTGAATCGATTAGAGCTCAATTCAATCGATTAGAGCTCAATTGAATCGATTAGAGCTCAATTCCATCGATTAGAGCTCAATTCAATCGATTAGAGCTCAATTGAATCGATTAGAGCTCAATTGAATCGATTAGAGCTCAATTCAATCGATTAGAGCTCAATTGAATCGATTAGAGCTCAATTGAATCGATTAGAGCTCAATTCAATCGATTAGAGCTCAATTCAATCGATTAGAGCTCAATTCAATCGATTAGAGCTCAATTCAATCGATTAGAGCTCAATTCAATCGATTAGAGCTCAATTCAATCGATTAGAACTCGATTCAATCGATTAGAGCTCAATTCAATCGATTAGATCTCAATTAAATCAATTAGAGCTCAATTGAATCGATTAGAGCTCAATTCAATCAATCAGAGCTCAATTCAATCGATTAGAGCCCAATTCAATCGATTAGAGCTCAATTTATTTCAATCTACTATATAAAAGAGAAGTGTTCGTCTGTCCGGCTCCCCGTGAACCGATTTCGACCGACTTTTTTTTAAGCAATAGGGAATTAAAAATGAATAGGTAAATCCTTTTTGATCAAAATTAGAAAAATCTTTTACAAGGGGATTCCACAAAATGATCGTAGCAGATTTTGACAATGTTAAGATGAAAACGCCTATAAAACACGGGGAATCCGATGCTTGGATTCATTTTTTGTCTATATTCAAAAACACCCGAGAAATGCGTGTCCAAAGTTTCGGTCGGGAATCGGAAAATCGTGCCGTGCGGTTTTATGTAACAGTTCGTTTTCTCTTCTAAAAATTCTTTTCTTTTCTTTTCTATGTAATTTTGTGTTATTTATCTCAAATTTTAGTTTTTTTTCTGCAAAGATTCATTAAAGGATATGAAAAGATAGAAAAAGCGAATAGATTTTGATGAGATTACGATAATCGAGAAATTGATAATTTTTATCTAGATAAGACAAGGAAAATGCAAAAATTGTGCTTAAAACGATGCTCTTTTGGTTCACAAAAATGGCACTGTGTATCTGTTTGTACAGAAAAAAGAAAGAAGAAGAAAGAAAAAGCAGAAAAAAAATAAAGAAGGAAGAAAGAGAAGGAAAGACGAGAGGAAGAAAGAAGAAAGAAAAGGAAAGACGAGAGGAAGAAAGATGAAAGAAAAGGAAAGAAGAAGGAAAGAAAAGGAAAGAAGAGGGAAAGAAAAGGAAAGAAAAGGAAAGGAGAGGGAAAGAAAAGGAAAGAAAAGGGAAAGAAAAGAGAAAGAAGAGGGAAAGAAGAGGGAAAGAAGAGGGAAAGAAGAGGGAAAGAAGAGGGAAAGAGGAGGGAAAGAAGAGGGAAAGAGGAGAGAAGAAAGAAAGAAGAAATGCTCAAGAAAAAGCCTCATTTTCACCAGAAATAGCTCTCAAAGTGGGACGATCAAAAAACATTTAAAAAGAAAAAGAAGAGTTTTTTTACTGCAATTATTCTAAATTCTGCAAAGTATACATTTTTAACATTCTAGAAAAGAAGTTTAGAGTTTAGCATCTAGAGTTTAGAATCTAGAGCTTAGAATCTAGAGCTTAGAATCTAGAGCTTAGAATCTAGAGCTTAGAATTTAGACCTTAGAATCTAGAGCTTAGAATCTAGAGCTTAGAATCTAGAGCTTTGGATTTTAGACCTTAGAATCTAGAGCTTAGAATCTAGAGCTTAGAATCTAGAGCTTAGAATTTAGACCTTAGAATCTAGAGCTTAGAATCTAGAGCTTAGAATCTAGAGTTTAGAGTTTAGAGCTTAGAATTTAGAGCTTAGAATCTAGAGCTTAGAATTTAGAGCTTAGAATCTAGAGCTTAGCATCTAGAGCTTAGAGTTTAGAGTTTATAATTTAGACTTTAGAGCTTAGAATTTAGAGTTTAGCTTCTTTTTGAATTTCTAATTTTCTTTTTTCAAAGTCTAGATATGCAAAAAATCCATAAAACTTATAGAAAACTCGTTTTTTTTTCAATCCAAATAAGACTTGTCCTTCTCCTATTTGTGTCTATTTGTATATTTTTGTCCTCTTTTTTCCCCCCTTTTCTATATTTTGGCGAGGTCAGAAAAGCGGAAAATCGAATAAGCTGCATTTGGTGTTTGTATTTCTTTTTGCTGTTTTCTTTTTGCTGTTTCTTTTTGCTGTTTTCTTTGTGCTGTTTTTTTTTGCTAAAAAACAAAGCATGGATCTTCCCAATGGAAATTCACTTAAATAATCTACCGTATTTACTCGAATAGAAGACCGGCCTCGATTATAAGACCGTCTCGAATAGAAGACGGGGTCTAGGGAGTGATTGAAAAAATAGAAGACCGGTCTTCTATTCGAGTAAATACGGTAAATCTAAATCTATAACCCTTTTCTTTAGAAATGAAATGAAACGCCTTCTGAAACAGTTCGCATTTAGTACAGTACATTTAGTACAGTAGATTTAGTACAGTAGATTTAGTACAGTAGATTTAGTACAGTACATTTAGTACAGTACATTTAGTACAGTACATTTAGTACAGTACATTTAGTACAGTAGATTTAGTACAGTACATTTAGTACAGTACATTTAGTACAGTACATTTAGTACAGTACATTTAGTACAGTACATTTAGTACAGTAGATTTAGTACAGTAGATTTAGTACAGTAGATTTAGTACAGTAGATTTAGTACAGTACATTTAGTACAATACATTTAGTACAGTACATTTAGTACAGTACATTTAGTACAGTAGATTTAGTACAGTAGATTTAGTACAGTAGATTTAGTACAGTACATTTAGTACAGTACATTTATTAAAGTACATTTAGTAAAGTACATTTGGTACAGTAGATTTGGTACAGTAGATTTAGTACAGTAGATTTAGTACAGTACATTTAGCACAGTACATTTAGTACATTACATTTAGTACAGTACATTTAGTACAGTACATTTAGTTATTTGAAGAAAAAGCTTATAGCTTATAAAAAAGCTTATAAAATACCGTATTTCTTTGAATAGAAGACCGGCTAAAGAGTATGATCGCGTACTCCTGCGTAGCAGCCCTTTTTAAAATTTCTTTTCTGCATAAAAGCTTTCAATGAAGTGCTATAGGGCTGGAAAATGACTCAAAAATACCACATGAGCTAACAGATTTTTGAGCCATTATTCAGCTTTATAGCACTTCATTGAAAGCTTTTATGCAGAAAAGAAATTTTAAAAAGAGCTGCTACGAAGGAGTACGCGATGATACTCTTTACCCGGTCTTCTATTCAAAGAAATACGGTAGCCAAACTTCACGAAATGTCAAGAATTCGCTGTCGCTTTCAAAAATCTTGCTCAGCAAAAATCGCTTCAAGATTTAAACGAATCAAAATCGCCACCCCGAAAGCAATATTTGTATGCCTGGTTTGCGTGTGTGTGTGTGTGTGTTTCTTCTTCTCAAAATTCTTTTCTGAAATTCGATCTTTTGTCAAGCGAAGCTCAATGGCTAGAATAACCACTTTTCGTTCGGAGGAATGGAAAAGAGTCATGGAAAAGAGTCATGGAAAAGAGAAAGAAATTTTAAAGGCTTTAACTGAAAATGGTATGATTCATGGAATTGAAATTGGAATCGAGCAAATGGGAAAGAAAAGAGTTGAGTCAAATCCTTGTCACTTCAAGTATCGATGAGACAAAAATGGTTATCCGACACGCTCAATCCCTTTTCCCATTGGCAAACTTTGAGCATAAATTTCTTGGTGTTGAGCTGTCCAAATTCAATATTTTTTGTACCATTAGATGCGCCAAGTCTTTCTCTATCGATTGGTACAAAAACTATTTGAATTGGACAGTTCAACATCAAGAAATTTGACAATCTGACTTTGAACTCAATTATCTCCGTGTTGAGCTGTCCAAATTCAATATTTTTGTACCATTAGATGCGCCAAGTCTTTCTCTATCGATTGGTACAAAAACTATTTGAATTGGACAGTTCAACATCAAGAAATTTGACAATCTGACTTTGAACTCAATTATCTCCGTGTTGAGCTGTCCAAATTCAATATTTTTTGTACCATTAGATGCGCCAAGTCTTTCTCTATCGATTGGTACAAAAACTATTTGAATTGGACAGTTCAACATCAAGAAATTTGACAATTTGACTTTGAACTCAATTATCTCCGTGTTGAGCTGTCCAAATTCAATATTCTTTGTACCATTAGATGCGCCAAGTCTTTCTCTATCGATTGGTACAAAAACTATTGAAATTGAGCAGCCCAACGCCAAGATCTGTAACCTAAAAGTTAGATTGCCGATGGCAAAAGGGGCCGGGCGACGGACCTTTTATACGTGCCCCGCCCCCTTCTGCCATTGGCTAACTTTGAGCTTAAATTTCTTGGTGGTAGGCGCTCCAAATTCAATCTTCTTTGTATCATTAGATGCGCCAAGTCTTTTTCTATAGATTGATATAAAAACTATATGAATTGGACAGCCGAACACCGAGATATTTTGGCTCAAAGTTAGATTGCCAATGGCAAAAGAGGCAGGGCTGGTATCAAACGTCCCAAAATCGACAAAAAAGCCAACCTGTGATGGGAAAAGCCATGAAGTGCTGCCAAGTAAAGGCGATGTGGGTCGATCGACTCTCGATTGATTCGATGTCGATGTGGAAAATGGGGCAATCGTTGAGGAGAGACCGCTGAGTGGAGTCGAATCGCTGAAAGTAACATCGTTTTTGATCTTTTGCATTTGTGAAGACTTTGCACTTATAATTACTACTGATGAAGTTAAAAAGTGAGAATTGTTTCGATCAGATTAGTCAACTGATCTTGAAAATTGTTATGATATTGTCAACTGTAAGATAAAGTTAACCTTATTTGAAAGAACGCAAAGGATTTGTTTAGTTCTGGGACATGTCCTTATCTCTAAAGATTTGGCTCTTTTTCGGCACAGATTTGGTTCCTTTTCTCTACGGATTCGGTTCCTTTTCTCTACATATTTGGTTCTGTCGTGACGATCTCGTGATCGTGATAGAAATGGCCAGCTAGGCACCTATGTGGACGAACGCTTATTGTGCGAGATTTAATATGCATCGCTATCCGTTCAACTCCATTGTGTGCAAGACGAGACCAACGCGTTGGTCTCGTTGCAACGCCAAAGTTCTGTATAAAAGCAATGTGAACGAGCTGCCGAGAGTGCCGTGGAGTCGTCTCTACTCTCCCAATCCCAAACCACTGAACCAACTATTATTGCTGTAAAAAAGATTATATTAGGTTGATGCAAAAGTCTTTTTCATTTTTTTCGTACTTCTTTTGAAAAATAACAAAGTCATCAATTAACCTATGGTTTGCTCTAAATGAAAAGTGTTTATTGTTCAATTTCCCATCTTTTAAAGTCAATTTGGGTTCACTTTCAAGCAAATTCGAGAGTGAAAACGGGTTTTTCATAAAAATCTATAAAAACCTCTATAAAGAAATTGGCTGAATCAATTTCTCTGAAAATCTGAAAAAATATCTAACTTTTTGTGCTCTATCTTTTATTTATTAACATCAAGATTGGTTTCCTTAGCTAAAGCGTCTAAAATGCATCATCGAGCCGTCGCCTTTTTTGACTACCCGACTTCAGGCTCTCAAAAAAATCTAGACATAAGACATTTTAAACTCGTTTTAATGTCATTTTGCAGAAAAATAATTCGCCTTTCGAATGCAATAAACCGTTGTTCAATTGGTGCATTTGTTACTTTTTAACGGAAGTACGAAAAAAATGAAAAAGACTTTTGCATCAACCTAATATCTAAAACCATCAATAATCACTACGGGTTCCTTTTCTCTACAGATTTGGTTCCTTTTCGGTACAGATTTGGTTGCTTTTCTCTACAGATTTGGTTCCTTTTCTCTACAGATTTGGTCTCTTTTCTCTACAGATTTGGTTCCTTTTCTCTACAGATTTGGTTCCTTTTCGGTACAGATTTGGTTGCTTTTCTCTACAGATTTGGTTCCTTTTCTCTACAGATTTGGTCAAAGTTGAGAGGCCAGGAGAAGGCAAGCCAAGAAAAGCAAGGTTTGGCAAAGCCAAGCTCCGATAAAGCAAGATTAGAAAAACTAAAGTCAGGATCAAAGCAAGACCAGAAGCCGGATCTGATCTGATCTTGACTGGCATTTGTTTGGCTTTGTTACAGGTCTCTTGCCCTATCAGATCAGAGCCCCTATAGATCAGCCCTATCCCCTATAGATCAGAGCTTAGCTGTAGCTGGACTTTCCCCTAATCAGCCAATTTGAACATCTTTAGCCACGTTGAGCTATTCTCTGACTTACAAGTTGTCAATTTAAAACAAAATTTCTTTCACTTACCGCGTCTCAAATGGGAATAAGCCGGGTGATCCGGAGAGGCTCTGTGTGAACGAGTCGAGCATCGAGAGGTGAAAAGGTCGACTCGATGAAAGGATCACACTTCTCTCCAAAGAAAAACCACGACTAATCGATCTGGAAATGAATGAATCTTTGTTAAATCCTTGAAAACTTTATATAGAAAACAAAAATTGATAAAAAATTGCGAATTAAATGAAAAATTAAAGACTCAGAAGTGTTAAGAATGAAAATTTGAACTTTAACAGTTGTTTAACAAACTTTAAACTTTAAAAAGGCAAGATTTCATTTGAAATTCACGTCTGAGCGTTCGAAAATTGAGAAATTTCAGGAAGTTTGCGTGAAAATTAATCAAAAAAAAGCAAATTTCGCATTTTGCTTCAAAAATTTCGACTAATCTTGAAGAAATTGAGGAAATTGAGGAAAATATTGAACAAAAAACTGGTCTGTAGCCAAAAATTATGCTTTTAAATGCTTTTAAACATGTTAAACGTTGAAAATCTCAATGAAAACAACTGTTTTCGAGAGAATTCAACACAAATTTCCTTGCTAATTCGTTGTTTTGTGGTTGAAATTAGAATTTTTTTCACTTTTTTCACTTTTTTCACTTTTTTGGGATTTAGAAATAGAAAGTAGACTTTTTTCTTGATTTTTTGATGGATTTTGGAAAAAAAATTGATTCGGTAAATGGAAATGAGACTTTTTTAATTGAAAAACTTCAAAATTTAGCTAAACAAGTCAAATTGAAAAGGGAGCGCTATCTTTTTGATCGCTATCTTTTTTCACAATGGAAACTTGATGATTTAACGTTTCAACTATGGAAATTTGATGATTTGACTGTTAGACGATGCAAATTTAACGATTTAACGATGCAAGCTTGATGATTTGACGGTTAGACGATGCAAATTAATGATTTAACGATGCAAACTTGATGATTTGACTGTTAGACGATGCAAATTTAACGATTTAACGATGCAAGCTTGATGATTTGACTGTTAGACGATGCAAATTAATGATTTAACGATGCAAACTTGATGATTTGACTGTTAGACGATGCAAATTAATGATTTAACTATGTAACTTTAAGGATTTAGCGATTTAAGTATGTAAATTTGATGATTTAACGATTTAACTATGCAAATTTGACAATTTAACGATTCAAACTTGACGACGACAAGATTTTCTCGAAAAGAGAACAAAATTTGACCAAATCCCGGCTCTCCAAGCTAAGCTCCAAGCTCTCCAAGCAAAGTTGGCAAAAAAAAGCCAACGCTAAACGCTAAACCAAACCATTCCACGCTAAACCAAACCAATTCAAGCCAAAGCCAAGCTTTTAAACCAAATTCAATAAAAAGATTGAAATTTGAGGTCAAGATCAATCGAAAGCCTTGCTTTGATTTGGCTGGCATTGGCTAGCATTGGCTAGCATTGGCTAGCATTGGCTAGAATTGGCTAGCATTGGCTAGCATTGGCTAGCATTGGCTTTTGACTTTTTTCTTGCAAAATTTCTCCTTTATTCACAAAATCTTATTCATTACTTGAAAATGAAAATGAAAATGGCTTTCTAGATTGAAAAGAAATAAAAATTGAAGAGAAAAACCTAACTTTAACTGGAAATCAAAGGAAAATGACTGAAAAAAAAGATTGTGTCTTCTTGTTCATTTGCGGGGTTTTTTTTTCTAGGTACAGCAGTGAAAATTTCAAGAGAAAAAGCTGAAAAGATTTGGGGTAAAAGACGCAAAAAGAACAGCTGACATTCAGCTCAAGCTTTGATCGAAGTTTTCTCTTGAAAATTTTTTCTTTTCTCTTTTCTTTTCCCATTTTTTCCTTGAGCCGGGCTTTGATCGGTTCTCTTTTCTTCAGCTGGGACATATCCGCCTCTTTTCCTCTCTTTTCCTCTCTTTTCATTCATTTTTTATCTTTCCTCTTTAAATCTATGAGAATCCATATGGCTTTGGCATAGGTTAAAGCTTTTTTTTCTTAAAAGATCAAAATTTGAACTTTATTGTTATAGCTAATCAATAGCTAATGGCCAATCAATAGCTAATGGCCAATCAATAGCTAATGGCCAATCAATAGCTAATGGCCAATCAATAGCTAATGGCCAATCAATAGCTAATGGCCAATCAATAGCTAATGGCCAATCAATAGCTAATGGCCAATCAATAGCCAATGGCCAATCAATGGCTAATGGCCAATCAATAGCCAATGACCAATCAATAGCCAATGACCAATCAATAGCCAATGACCAATCAATAGCCATCAATCAATCAATAGCCATCAATCAATCAATAGCCAATGACCAATCAATAGCCATCAATCAATCAATAGCCATCAATCAATCAATAGCCATCAATCAATCAATAAGCCAAAAAATGGATAAATCAATGGGGAAAACAATGGAAAACTCTTCAATGAATCAAAAGAATGAAAAGAAATTCCTCAATATTTCAATTTTTATCTATAGAATGTGAAAATTAGGTTTATAAATCAAAAGCAAAGGGTTTTTTAAGCTTTTTTAAGCTTAAGCTTAAGCCTAAGCTCAAATTTTTAAGATCAACCCAGTTTTGGCCTATTTTAGTCAATTTATCTAGCTTTAAGATCTTTAAATCAATCTTTTAATCAATTTACAAGAATGAAAAATGTTTAAACGAAGAATGAAAAATGAAAAATTAAAATGAAAAATAGAGAAAAGCTTTAGAATGATTTTTGAGATTTAAATTTTCTCTATTCTGATTCCATTTTCTGATCCAGCTTTGGCTTGGTTTCCAGCTTTGGCTTGGTTCTCAGCTTTGGCTTGATTCTCAGCTTTGGCTTGATTCTCAGCTTTGGCTTGGTTCTCAGCTTTGGCTTGGTTTCCAGCTTTGGATTCGGTTGAAATAAATAGACAATGAAAATAACAAAAATAGACATTGAAAAGATGAAAAATGAAATGAATTGAATAAAATAAGCAATTGAAATAAGCAATTGAGGATAGATTTTTGTAAAAAAGATTCTAAAAAGTAAAATCTAACGAAAAGAAAGTAAAAAAGGAAGAAAGAAAGGAAGAAAGAAAGAAAGAAAGCTTTTTGAGTTCTGAAAAACTCTGATTGAACTTAGTGAAGTGATCCAGCTGGAGTAGAAAGTAATAAAGTAATCAAAGAATAATGGAAAGACTTTGGTAGAGAAATGAAATGGGAAAAGAGAAGAGCAATCAGATGAAAGAAAGAAAGAAAGAAAGAAAGAAGAAAGAAAGAAAGACAGACAGACAGAAAGAAAGAAGAAAGAAAGAAAGAAAGAAAGAAAGAAGACAGACAGACAGAAAGAAAGAAAGAAAGAAAGAAAGAAAGAAAGAAAGAAAGAAAGAAAGAAAGAAAGAAAGAAAGAAAGAAAGAGAAAGAAAGAAAGAAAGAAAGAAAGAAAGAAAGAAAGAAAGACAAGCACAAATGATTACAAATATTTATAAGTAAATAAAATAGATGAAGGGGAAAGGGAGAGAGGTTGAGATGGATGAGAAAGAACCTTTGAATTGGATTGACTTACAGGATTGACTAAAGGGTTGTTCTAAAGGTTATTCCTTGGCTAGGTCTGTCTCTTAGCTGGCTTTGTACTAGCTACTAGCTACTGGCTTTGTACTAGCTACCAGGCTTAAAGCTTTGCAAGTTTTACGGTCTACGACTTTTACACAACTCTAAAACTAAGCCAACGATCGAACTCGATATCTAGCTTCTCAAAATGTAACAATTACTCCAAATTTCTTTCTTGAACATTAGTTCTTGTAACTAGAAAAACTAGAACTAGAAACTGTAACTAGAAAACGAACTAGAACAGATTCTAGCTTTTAAATATCTAGTCATAGATTATGACTAGATATTTGAGATTATGATTAGATACTAGTTGAGATTATGACTAGATACTAGATTATGACTAGATACTAGTCATAGATGATGACTAGATATTTGAGATTATGACTAGTTACTAGTTGCCAATCTTTTAAACCTATAAAAGTCGGTAAACTGCAGCTTTATTTCATTTGCTTAAACATGATTCATCAAGGTTTACCCACTGCAATTAAATGTTCAAAAGATCAGACAAAAAGTGGAAAAGGTGATAGACAAACGTGCAGATTGAGAAAGCTAATATTTGGATTGGAAAAGGGTGAAGAAGGAGAAGAGGGAGAAGAAGAAGGAGAAGGAGAAGAAGAAGGAGAAGAAGAAGAAGAAGAAGAAGAAGAAGAAGAAGAAGGAGAAGAAGAAGAGAAGAAGAAGAAGAAGAAGGAGAAGAAGGAGAAGGAGGAGAAGAACAAGGAGAAGAACAAGGCTGGATGGGTGCCAGTCTCTTCTATGTGTGTAGACTAGACAAAGATGAGACTAGTTCATCTCTTCGATTCCGATCAGCCACAGTCAGTCACCACTTGGACCTTTGTCTGTTTATTGCAGAGGTCTCTTGGAGCCGGCTGGGGGTAAAGGGTAAAGAGCCGGTCTCTTTCCCAGTTTTTGTCCCAGTATTGCTACTGGGACTGAACTGGGACTGAACTGGAGTGAATTGAGTAAATTTGTATTGTCAAAAGCATTCTCCCAAACCTGACTTCAATAAAATTCATTCAGCTTCCTATGAAAGGCTGGTTGTGGGTAAAAGATAAGGTTTGTCTTTATGCGCTAAAGCGTTAATCTAGAGATCCGTACTGGAAGGTAGCTGCTCTCACTACTGCCAAGATCACCTGGAGTGACTGGCTACAAAGCTGAGACTTGTTAGTTGACTGCTGAAGGTAGCTGACTGCTGAAGAATGACAGCAATCTTGGCTTTCGACACAAGTTGATCTAGAGCGTTAATCTAGAGATCTAGAGTGTTATTCTAGAGATCTAGAGATCTAGAGCGTTAATCTAAAGATCTAGAGTGTTATTCTAGAGATCTAGAGATCTAGAGCGTTAATCTAAAGATCTAGAGTGTTATTCTAGAGATCTAGAGATCTAGAGCGTTATTCTAGAGATCTAGAGCGTTATTCTAGAGATCTAGAGATCTAGAGCGTTAATCTAGAGATCTAGAGTGTTATTCTAGAGATCTAGAG